ACATTTTCCCAGGACTCCTCAAATAGTTTATTTTTTAATTTATTGAGATTTGTTTTAGTAAGGTTTCTTTTAGTGTCAAGACATTTTTTATTATCACTATTAGATAGAATACCACGTGCAATGTGAAAAATGGGGAAATGATTAGAAAACCAGAAATTAAAATACCAGATTCAAAATCAGAATTGTAAGAGTTGTTTGTTAAAATATTGTCAATGGCAAAAAAGTTTTTTGCTTAATTCTTGTTGGTTTAAAAATAGTAGAAATTATATTAAATTCAAGTAATGAATCAAAAAAAGATTTAATGTTGGAAAACTTTTTGCAATGTAAAGCATCTATATTTAAATCACCTGCAAAAAATATATACTTATTATGTTTACACATTCGTGATGTTATGTTTTTCAAGCTATTAATAAAATTATTTTGATTTTCACAAGTTTGTCGATATAATGAGGAAATAAGTAATGATTTGTTAGTTTTATTCAAAATCTCGATCCATAAGGTTTCTATATGTTTATTTGTATTGCTATACGCTTTTTTTTTTTAATTCAAATATTTCACGAATTTAGATAGCAACTCCGGCTCCAATACCGCTCACTCGTGGTTGTCTAATCAATTTATTAAGTGATAAATAATAAAGAGAATTTTCTAACAAAGACATATTTGATTCTTCCCATGTTTCCGAAATACAAATTACATCAAACAGATAATTTAAAAGAGTAATAGAAATTTTTAAAAAATTCAAAATTTTTACTCATAGTTTGTTTGCGCATGTTTACACTTAAAATGCTGAAGCTTTCTTTGACCTTATCTTTAATAAATCTATCAGGTTTATAGTAATCATTGCTTAGGCATTTAGCATATAAAATTCATGAGGTTTTGAGTTTTCTAAAATAGGAGATAAAAAGTTTTCAAAGTTATTTTTTGGATTGTAAAAATTATCGGTTTTAGTCATTTCGCTTTTTATCAAATAAATCAAGAAATTCAAAAACAAATTTTAAAGTAGTTAAGGCGATTTACAAAATATTCGAATTCTTTTATTTGAAATTAGCATGATTTTATGGGCGTATTATGTTTAAACAAGAGCTTTAGATGTAATAATTTTTTTTGGTTCAGGTTTTTTTAATATTTAAAGAAACTTTTCTTTTTTTTTTTTTACACAATTTTCTTTAAATCACTTTTGCTCATCGGCGTTAACATGAATTTAGTTAAAATCTTTTGAAAAAGTGCCTTAACACACTATAGATCTTAGTTCTAATCGGTTCTGACGTATATTAACTACATAAAGTTGTCAAAGTACAATATTTATATCAATTTTCACAAAAAATTATAGAATTTCAACCAAGAAAGAGCATATAATTAAGAAAAATTGCAAATAAACGATCAGAACAGATCATATTATTAAACAAATATTATTTTACCTAAAAAGTATTTTTATTTAGAATCTTATTTAAATTTAGACAAACGATCGTGATTTTAAGATGATTTTTTTTTAAAGAAAAAAAATCTTTGGTTCATTTATACTTAATGATACCGCAAAATTTATCATTTAAATTTTTTTTGTCTTTTCATAATTCACAGACCGGATCATTTAATGGAAACATGTTGTAGTCAAAAAAATATCATAAAGACGCTTTAATATTTTAAAATTGCCTGCACCATTTGCGCCACCGAGATTCACTGTTCGAACTAATTTCCTTAAAAATTACCAAAAACTGAACAATTTGTTGTTTTTAGTTTTATAGCTTTTGGGCTACAATAACTACCCAATCTCAAAGTACTTTTCCTTTCATTCATTGATCAAAAAAACAAATACAATATATCTATTTATAGTTTGATAAAAAGGTGCTACACCAGGCCCTTCTATGCTAATGAAAAGAAAAACACAGACGCTACAGACGAAGCAGTAAATGTGTCTCTAAAAGTTACTTTGTCTTTAAAAACATTGGTTGATGGAGCGTTCACTGCTGCTTGAGAAAGCGCATTCCATTATTATTATTAGCTGGCGTTCTAGTTTATGGTTATGCCCTCACTAAGTATACTTGCCTCTACTGTTTGAAAGTTTTTGCAAGACATGTTTAACATTGAGCAAAAAAAAACAGTAGCATCTATTAAATACCTGTTTCATAAAAACTGACTCCGAAGTCCCGGTCAAACAATACTTGAAGAATGCCGTTAAGAAGCAGACCTTATTGAGCAAGTTAAAATCACTTCCTAAATGTGTGACCATTCCACGGTTCTGTTAATGTCAGCTTAGGTAGTGATGCTGCACGACTCATTTTTAACTATGACAATTTTATTTTTGTCGGTATACAGTTTCATATGATGAGTGATGCTGTCCAGCGGGTCATTTATGAAGATTACGAAAAGCAATAGGCTCAAAACCGAGCCTTGAGGCACGCTACTAGTTACAGTCTGCCATTCAGATGCCGTCGATGACCACTAATATTTCAAAAACATGTCGAATGAACGAAATAAAACTCATAAAACTCTCCGAAATCCCCCCAAAAAATCCATAAAACTGTTTAAGATAGGGGAAAGCGGGGCAACATGGCGAACGTTTTGAAAGCTCTAAGTTATTGTAAAACTATCAGTCGTGAAGCAATAATACTTTCTGAGTATGCTTATGTTGCTAAAATGATTCATATCCTACATGAATTTTCCGTTTGCAAATATAACAATTTGAAATAAATATTAAAATAAAAAGTTCATAAATTTGTCATCTGGTCACGTGATCGGGGCAAGATGACTTATTATGCAATTTTTACCTCCAATTGTATAAAATTTTTAAAACTACCAATAACTCTAACTAAAGTAACAAAAAATAAACACAAATCGCAAAAAACTACTTCTAAAGAAGTTAAACTTGAAGGACACCATCCATTATGAGAAACCGAAAGTGAGAAATTTTTTTTTAAGCGCAAAAAGTAAACTTATGCGTATAAAATTGCGTTAATAATATTTCAAAAAACCAATCGGTGTTTTAAAATACAAAATGCAAATACTGCTTCGTTTTCACCCAATTATAAGATTTTTTATCGAGTTGTTATATAAAAACCCATCTTGCCCCATTCGCCATGTTGCCCCGCTTTCCCCTACTATCGCATACTAACTATTTTTTAAATGAATGTGTAATGGCAATAGATGACTAATCACGTTAAAAAGGTAATTAATCACATTGCGTGCGATGAATAATTGAATAAATAAATCTCTTTTATCTATTTTGCTGTATCATACAAAATTGAAGAACTTTTCCCTTTTTAATATGTTTTCAGCACCACCCACCCACCCCCCACCCCCAATATTCGCGACCTTCCTACGCCACTGAGTTTCTATTATAACAATAAGATAAAAAATTTTTGAAAACTTTTATTTTGAAAATGGCATAAACCACCTTTTTTAAAAAAATCAAGTTGTTAATGACAATGACTGCACGAAACTATTTAGGGGAGACCGGGGCTAGTTGGCTCGGTTTTTACTCTATGAGCTCTGTAGCCCTAATAGCACACTTTTTTGAAAATATTAAAGTGTAGTCTCAAAGCGTATGAACTTGGGTAACTTATAAAAGTTTCATGGATTTACAAAAAAAAATTCTTGGGGCCTTACGGGGCCCTCAAAAAAAAAAAAAAAAATTGCGCCAACTTACCCCACCACGGGGTAAGTTGACGCAAACTATAAACGTGATTATTAATGTACTATTAAGTGCAAAATTAATAGAAATTTTTTACCTATTAATTTTGGCAACAATTTAAGCTAATAATTTGATATTATTTTTAGCTTGTGCTAAATATTAGTACGTATAACAGCCAAAACAGCAGCCCTCTTTTTACCTGTTACAAAAAATCTAAAAAAAAAATTTTTATAATTTTTTTGTAAGAATAAGTTTTTTCAATATTGTTAAAAATTAAAAAAATTAAAAAAATTATTTTTATAAAAATAAATATTTTTCTCCATAGTAAATGCTATGAGCCAACTTACCCCGTAAAAATTTTGTCAACTTACCCCGAAGGCTTTTTTTTCAATAAACAGTCTATAGATCCTGAAAAACGGCAACTTTTAAAAAAAGTCAAACTGAATATAGTAAACCAATTGTGGCTAGAACTTTTACAATAATTTTTTTTCCATTTGACTAACTATTTTCTTTGTAAAGTAAAAAGGAAGCGATGTTTCAAAAGTTACGTTTTTGTCCAAAAAACACTTAAATCTTAATATCTCCCATGCGCATGCGCGAATCCTGACAATACTACATTGAATGATGAAACAGTCAATTAGGAAGATTCTGTGTAATTTTTATCACTTTCTGATGAAAGGCTTTAAAGATAAACGCAATTCGTCAACTTACCCCTGCGGCCAACTAGCCCCGGTCTCCCCTATACCAATAAAAATTTAAGCATCCTGAAAAAAAATAAAACATCTTTTTGAAGTTTATTTGCAAAAAATTTTAATCTTATTTTTGGAAAACAAAAGAGGAAGTAAATGTGTAGAGATAAGTTTCAAAAGATGTAGTTTTACTCTACTTTGCTGTGTATTTGCTATGAAGTATAATAATTCATAAATTTCATCATATTTGTACTTTGAAAAATTATAAAAATTAACTAATTTACATATTTTTCTAAAGTTTTTTACAATTACAATGAGCCGTGTATTTTGAAAGTGGCACAAGTCACTTTGATTTTAAATGGATATTTCTAAAGGGTGTGTTTTAATGTTAAAAAATATTGTTACTTTCGAGAAGATTTACTTGTATTTGCTGTCTCGAGATGCTTAAATTCTTATAAGTACAGGTTTCTCAAAGTTAAGGTTTCGGTTCGTCATATGTTCCCTAATCGTCAGGGTCGACAACACGGGTTTCGAAGTAAAGGGGCACAGTCGTCAATTTCTAATAAAGGTCCTCTATATCTAAAAATTTCTAAAATAAAAGTCCCTTAGAAAAAACTTAGTGCAGTGCCCCTTAACCCCAACCAGCGTCGTCGGCCCTGCTCGTAAATAAACACAACATACTATACATGTTTCTTTGTTTAAGATTCTTAATTTAAGAATATCTTTCGACATTTGTAACAATAAATAACTTATTTAAAGATATTTAACAAAATATATTATTAAAATAGTCCTAAATATATATTAACACATAAATATATATTAAATGTTTATATAAATTATATAAATTCATTTATCAGTATTTCTGCAAAAATAATAAGTTTCAAAGTTAATAGCCGAATCTTTCAATATAGCGACTTCTAAATAAAAAATATTTTTTACAGATATTGTGAATAAGTCAAAACATACAAATTTAATTAGGGATAGATGGCAGTGTACAAAAATACAAAGGCTACAAAAAAGTTCTTAGTAAGGTTGGGTTTAAAAAAGGGGTCCGCAAATTAAGTTAAATGTGTAAAAAAAACGACAGCTATGTTATAACCATTAAATATAAAAGCAGATTCCACTTGCAGGAATTAGATTTTGCTCATTCTAATACATAGATAAGTATTTGACTTTATGAAAATCCCGGAAATTTTTTTTTTAATGATAATCCCGGAAAATTCCGGAAAATTAATTTATAAAAAATTGATCGCATTTAACTGACAAACCGAATTTAGATTATTTTAAAACGGAATTTAGACATGGCCTTCTATAATAACAGGCCTTGACATCGCGCTATAAAGTTGCCAGACTAGAGGCCGATTTATAATACTGTGTTTACATTTCCTCTTTTAACTTTACAAAAAAGATTTAGTTTGCGCTTTTAGAGCAGATTTTTCAAATTCGATTGGTTAGGTTTGGTTAGAGCGCAACTTTAAGACGTAAAAGTTAACTTCATAACACTGGCTTGAGTATTTTTAAACTCATATAAAGTTATTTGAGTAGTAGTAGAAGATGCCTTTAAAATGCTGCATACCTCTCTGCAAGTCAAATTATCACTCGACTGAATCAAAAATATCGATATATAAATTCCCAAAAAATCCAGAGGAAAGAAAAAAATGGAGAGATGTCATCCCAAGAGCAAATTTCTCTATTTCTGACTATACAGCAGTATGTCGACTGCATTGGCCTGATGATGCACCTTTTGAAACCAAGTATGGAAAACAACGACCATTAAACCCACCATCTGTTTTTAAAAATATTCCGCCTAGTTGTTTACCAACACCATCGAATAAAGTCAGAAAAACTGTAACTTCAAGAGGATTTCGAAATGTCTTTCCAGACGAGTTTAATGTTTTTCTAAAAGACGATGAACTTTCATTCGCCGAAATTTAATCTATTTTCATTAATAGCAATGATGTTATTGTTTTTCAATTTAACAAAAATAGTGTGCATATACAGTCAAAAATGTACAAACTTGGAGTTCCATTGTTTCTTTTGGAAATTTTCGATAATTATTCATTCACACCTTACCATAATGGCACAACTTGCAATATCTCATCTTTAACTGCAAACAATTTAAAATTAATAAAAACAAGATCTGCTTTATTTGAAGCAGTTAGATTTTTAAAACATAAAGAGAGTTCTCATCAATCTAATATTCTATTTGAGCACCTTAATGTGATGAGAAAAGTTAGTGTTGGTGAAGTATTATATACTCCAGATATTATATGTAGAGCGTATGAGTATTTTGCTATGCGACGTAGTTTATATGATCGTTTGTGTGTTGACTACAAGTTGCCCAGTATACGCACTTTAACACGACTGACCTCAAAAATTAGTTCTATGGAGGACCTAAACTTCATAAATAGTATCTTTATGAATTTAGATCCATTAAAAAGAACTTCCATTATTTTAATTGATGAAGTTTATATAAAAGCTTCATTACTTTACCAAAGAGGCGCGTTGTTTGGTCATTCAGTAAACTACCCAGAGAGGCTAGCAACAACAATTTTATCATTTATGATTAAATGTCTTTTTGGAGGACCAGAATTTATATGTAGAGCTCAACCAGTTTTAAATCTTTCCGCTGAATTTCAATTCGCACAATGTCAACAAATTCTTGATGCAATAAATATTATTGAAAACAGTAAGACACTTGCAATCATCACTGATGGTAACCGGGTAAATCAACGATTTTTCAGAATATTTAAAACATTTGAAAGTAAACCATGGTTAACAACATCAGGTACATATTTATTGTATGACTATGTCCATCTCCTAAAATGTATACGAAATAATTGGTTGACAGAGAAGACTGGTCAACTTTGTTTTTTGCACAATGGGGAACTGACCTTGGCCAAGTGGAGTGATTTGGAAACCTTGTATAAAACTGAATCTATTAGCCTTTTAAAACTTTCTAAACTAACAGCTAAATCAGTTTATCCAAAACCAATAGAGAGACAGTCTGTACAATTTTGTTTGTCTGTGTTTTGTGAAGAAACAGTAGCTGCTTTTAGAACACATCCAGACATTGAAAATAAAGAATTTGAAGGTACTGCTGTATTTATTGAAAAAATTATTTCTTTTTGGAGTGTTGTTAATGTCAAAGCACCTGGTGCTGGAATTCGATTTAGAAATGAATTGCGCGGAGAAATACACTCAATTGATGATCAACAGTTACAACTGCTGCGAGATACTGATGATTTGGCAAAATTTATGAAACCTACAGGTAAGCGATTTAAGCAGCTTACACATGATACCAGTACTGCAATAGAACATACATGCTATGGTTTCATTGATCTTGTGGAAATGTTATTGAGTACTGGATCCAAATATGTTTTATTAGGTTGGTTTTCAACAGATTCTCTTGAAAAAGCTTTTTCTAAGCTTCGTCAGGGGTCTGGGGGTACATACTTCATAAATGCTAAATCTGTACTTGAAAAAATACATATTCAACATACTAAACTGATATTACAACTAGACATTCCTGTTAATGGTGTTGATGGTCATATTTGTGACATATGTTGCAGAGATGTTTCTACTGATGAAAAAGAATTGCTGGATAATTTGCATGATCTTGAAAGCTTGGTTAATAAATCGACATTATTAGCTATCGTTTACATAGCTGGCTATGTGCAAAAAAATGAAATAAATATCTATGATGATACAACCAGTTATTATAACGAATATGGAGATTATCTGAATAGCTTAAACAGAGGTGGACTTGAAATTCCTACTGATACTCTCATCCAATGGTCAATATTTTGTTTTCTATTTTTTCAAGGTGCCACTGGACCTTTATGCAGAACATTTTGTGTAACTCAGTTTCAATTCATAGCAGCCAAGTATAGATTTAAAATAACAAAGAGACAATGCAGAATATATTCTAATATTTTGTTGAAGAATTATGCACTAATTTCTACTCCTAATAGTAGCAGAGAATCGAAAGCAAAAATACTAAAGCTGTCATAGTTTTTTTGAATTTCAGGTTTTAATTCTCCTTTTGTTTTATGTCTCTGGATGTATTTAATTTAAAAATAGTTACCCTATTTGATACATAATAAGAGATACATAAAACTAAAAAGTTTTTTAATGAATTGACTTTGTTTTTGTTTTTATTTGACATTTTTTGATGTTACTTTATTTCAAGTTATGTTCTGTAAGCAAAAAAAAAAAAAAATTCTTCTAACATTTTTAAATATGTTAAAGTATGAACATTTTTCAAACGATTTTAGTTTTCTTATTATAATTTTGTTTTTATTAAAGATTCGAATAAGAAAGTATTGACAAAGTATTAAAAGCGATTAGTAAGACTTTATATAAATATACAAGCAATCAAAGTTTAATCGGCCTTCAGTTTTTGCGGCGTGTCGCGCGATGTCAAGGCCTGTTATTATAGAAGGCCATGAATTTAGATTATTTAACTTTTTACAAAAAGGAATTTCTAATATTCGAAAAAGTTTGAATGAATTAAAAAGCAAAAGAAAAAAAAGAAAAAAATTGTTACGAAAATTGATCTTGTAAAAATTTTAATTATAGAAAACATATTTGTTTAAATGCAAAAGTTGTTGTATGTAAAATTTTATGTAAAAGTATTAATTTTTTTTTAAATTAATATCAAAAAACATCCGGAAATTTCTGGAGAAATTAAAGGTGTTTTTAAGTGAATTTCGGGAATTTCCGGAAAAAACTCATCTATGCTAATATCATCTACCACCACAACCTTTTAATCAGCAAAAACCTCAGCATTTTCAAGTGCATTATGAGTTTCTATTATTGCCGAAACTCTTTTCGGGCATATCAATAATAAGGCTTAGCTCCTCTCTTAATCTCTGTTGAATATTTTTTTTCTGATGCTTTTTCAAAAAGGGATTTGACAAGGTATTTTTTAGTGTTCTTTTTATATCCTATTAGTAAAATATACTAAAATGTTCTGAGCCAACAATGCAGTGTAGATATTCCCAAAGATAAAGCTTTTTGATTGACTGGTTTAGATCTGATCAATGTCAGACTATATAGTTCAATGGGTTTAGCTCCACAAAAAATAAATGAAAGGAAAGAGTGCATTCAGCACTCTTTCCATACCATCAAACATGGTTAAATCTAGTTTTAAACTTTTAAAATATGATAATAGTAACAGGTTTGTCTTTTCCTTTATTAAATTGGGACAAGTTTAGGCAGTTGAATTTTTTTTTTTCCTGTTTAGGCAGTTGAATTTTTAGTTAAGGCAGTTGAATTTTTTTTTTTCCTGTTTTCATAGATACCTATCAATGAAAAAATGTCAAAATTACCATATAATCTATTGGAATCTTTTCAATTGAACTAATATGTGAAAAAAAAAATCGATTTGGGGTACTTTTACAAGATCTCAGGAAAACTAAAATTGTTGAGAATAAATTTTATAATTTTCAAATATCTTAAACATGTTCTTTAAATTAAATTGTGAACTATTTTTTATCAAACCAAAGATTGACACTAAAGAAAGTATGCAAACTTTGCAAAAAAAAAAAAAAAAAAAAAAAAAACAATAAGCTCCAAGAAATGGTCTGAAAACTGGTGAATCCTTGAGATTTAACCAAAAAACTATTGTTTTCTGGTGGTTTATTAAATTAATTATTAAATTCAATTTAAAAGCAGAATCAGAGTTGAGAAACTTTTGTGAAGCCTAAGTTACAAGCTCCACTCAAGTTTTTTACTAACTCATTTATAACATCATTAACTCAAATCTTTTATGATTCTACTAAAACCCATTTTCCTAATAAATATAAATATATTAACCTACAACATAATATAAAAAAAAATGTAATAAACACCTAAAATGAACTCGTTTGATTACTAATCTTGTTCAAATCAAGTTTTTTCAATAAGCAAATATTTCTCTCAATTACTAGATCCCTTACTTTAGCAAGTCGTAAGGCAGGTATCAGAATATTTTTACCATTTAGAAAAAATATTCTGCTTTATTTGTTATATTTAGTTTTTTTTATATGAACCCATACAGGGGCATAAAACTAAAGGAAAAAAAAATCCAAAACTGCAACTTAATACATATAGTATTAGACTGCATTCCTAAAGATTTAACTAAAGTTATATATAAGATCTGCTGATTTCTGCTAAATATTGTCCTGTCATTTTTTGGAATTTTGCACTCTACACTGATAAAATATAGGAAAATGATTTTCTTACATTTGCTATGTTGTGCGCCTATTGGACTACTAAATGAATTTGACCAAATTATTTCAATAACTAATATAATGAGCAAAGTAAGTGAAACTTAAGTGAAAGAGTCAAACCTTTATTCAAACAGTCATAAACATAAATACAACAGGTCAGTCAAACAGTCAATCATTTTACAATCAAAGCTACACAAAAAACAAAAAGCTGACAAAATTGAAAAAAAATAAAAATAATAAAAATAAATGTAACCTTGATTAGAAACAATCACTTTAAAACGAGAAACACAAATAAATAAAAATTGTTACCTCAGCTTCTTTTAATGCTAAATCAAGATCTTCAATTAAATCCTCCACATCTTCCAGTCCAATTGATAATCTTATCTAAATAAAAAAAATTAAACTGCTTAAAGAAAACAATAACAAAATTAAACGAAAACATAGAAGTTAAAATTATTAGCAGCGTACAAATGTATCTGATATTCCTAATTTTTTTCGATCTTCAGCTTCCACTGATGCATGTGTCATGATTCCACTAAAAAATAAAAGCATTAAAAAAACAAAACAATAAAAAAAAAAAAAAAATATTGCACATGTTTTAAGTTCCAAATGGTGAAACTTGCTTTACATAATGATTCCTGTTACTTTTTACATTTTTTTTATGCTGCAAGAGATATGTCTTGTTTACTTTTTTCTTAAAAGAACTAACATTATAGTATATGTTATAACAGGGTGGCCACATTTTTTTTTTTTTTTTTTTTTTTTTTAATTCACCTCCTCAAGGCCGAGAAGGCCACTACAGACAAGGAGGCTACTTATTCGTGGCTATAACCCTCTCTCAACTCTATAACTCCGAAACACGAACCTTGACGAACAAGGCCGCTGCGCGGAGAAACGAGTTGAGCGCGGTACTACCAGGGACGTGGTGGGGATCGAACTCGGAACCACTCGTTTATGAAGCGAGCGCTCTACCACTAAAAATTTCATAAGAAAAATAGAATATTAGAGGATTTTAGGGCATTTAGTTTAGAGTATTTTTTTCGCAAAACTACAAAATTTTGAAAAAAAAAAATCTATCTTTCCACACATTTAGGGTTTGGACAGGGGTTAAAAATGTCACTTTTTATGTTTGATGACATGGATTTGCTAAAACTGATTTACAACCCAATGCTTATTTTCAGATGCTAACCAGTTTTGCAGACCATTTTTAAATCTATACTAACATCAATTAATGAAAAAACAAAAAATAAGGAGATTTAATCAAATTATTAACTTTTTAGAGGATAGTAGAGGATTTTAGAGAAGATCTTTGAAAAAGAGGTATTTAGAGAATCTGTAGCCATCCAGTTTAATATTTTATAGAGGGTTCAATAAAAAGACGGCAATACGAAGACCTAAAGAAAAACTTAGAGGAAGACCAAAAAAAACTTAGAGGAAGACCTAAAGAAAAACTCAGAAAAAGACCTAAAAAAAAAAAACAACTCAAAGATACATAAAGTTCCAATTGTTAGCTTGAATCATAAGTAAAATAGAAAGTCAACATTTTAGCCTAAATTCTTTAAAATCAATAGTATATTTACTTTATAATCAATTGGTTATATACTTAAATATACTACATTATGTATAATATATATATATATATATATATATATATATATATATATATATACATATATATATATATATATATATATATATATATATATATATATATATATATATATATATATATATATATATATATATATATATATATATATATATATATATATATATATATATATATATATACATATATATATATATATATACATATATATATATATATATATATATATATATATATATATATATATATATATATATATATATATATATATATATATATATATATATATATATATATATATATATATATATATATATATATGTATATATATATATATATATATATATATATATATATATATATATATATATATATATATATATATATATATATATATATATATATATATATATATATATATATATATATATATATATATATATATAATACAATTTTAGTTTGTTTTATTTAAAGCTGAAGCTTCAAATAAAACAAACTAAACATTAGATAATACTAAATAACAAATAAAAAATCAATTTGAGAAGTTATAAAACATTTATTGACTTCTTAGACTTCTGTTTCTGGATAAAAAAAACGACTCTGAACTTTAGATTTTTTCTTTAGAGTTGTCCCCCCCTCCCCCCTAAAAAACCCTAGTTAAAATTAAATTTAACTTTAATTTTTTTAAATTTTTATTTATTTGAATTTTCATGCTATATTTATCTATACAATATTCTTATATCCATAGATATTGTTGGCTTAGCATAGGAACAGCCACAAATAGTCATTAAGACTAATATAAAGTAGAATCTGTTATTGACCAACGTTTTTTATACTGAAGTACTACTCAAGCGCTGGGTTGTCAGTGGCAGGATTTAAACTCGTATTTTACAACAGCTCGGTTTTTAACTTTTCGTTAGATGCTCTAACCAACTGAGCTATCCAGCCAAGAAGAAGTTTTTAGAAGTTTTTAAGAAGGTATTGTGACTAAAGCTTAGAATAGCCGAGGAAAGCGAGGAACTTTATTATTAACTTTTAAAAAGAAACCAAGTCAGTTAAATCTTACAATGATTCAACATTGACACTTGTTTTGATGCCGAATTTTACAACTTAGTTCAGTAGCTCTAAGGTCACAATTTGTAAAATATACAGCTATGCACAAAAGTTTAATCAAGGTTTTCATTTCATAATCAGGGTGTTAGCCAGCCCAATGACATTACATATACCCCGGAATTAAAATATACTCTTGGTTAACAATCTGAATGTTGGTTTGCACACATTACATAATGTTGGTTTGCTCACATTACATAATTTGGTTTGCATGCATTAAAATTTAACAGAAAGGTTTTAAGTATATTTCTTTATTTTCTTTTAATCATGTTTGTGTTGGTAAAATATTAAATTATTATATAAAAAAATCAAAATATATAAAAAATAAAGTATATATAAAAATTAAAAAATTAATTCAGTCACTCTACTCACCATCTGTAAAACCATTAATTGGTGAAACTTATATGAGTCATTTTATGGATGACTTCTCAAAAAGTTTCATTGAGTTTTATTGACTCCTAATAGCTTAATAATTTAATCACTAGATTCATTACGCTTAAAAAAATAATTTCAACTTTACAGATATTGTTAAAGAAAAATTGTTAAATATTAAATTCAAATTGAAGTTTTACATAATAAGCAATAGTTTACATTTTTTCAATTTGAGTACAAAATCAGAAGGAAAATCAGTGGAGCATCAAATAGCAAATTATTAGACTCGCCAAATCAAAAAACATAGCAACATTGAAATAGATAAACTTATGGGTAATTCTGAACTTTGTATATCAAAAACTGTGAAAACCTGGGAGCAGACAGGTTACATCATAGTAATTGTGATAAAAGTAGCATCAAAAGCAACAAAAATTCAAATGGAAATGAAAGAAGAGAACTCATTAGAAGGATATTAGCCAAAAAAAGTAATGGGTTACAATAAGAAAACCTATCCTATTAATCATGGATCAAAACAAAAGATGAAAATGATGAAAAGAATATTTACAATAAGGCAGTTTAAGATTGGAAAAAAGTAATTTGGAGAACGGAGTCATACTTTCAAATAGTAAACTTCAAAGGAAATCTTTGTAAGGAATCGATGCAAAAAGTTTAGCAATTGAAATATGTTATGAACACTATTTACAAAAAAGATAACACTTTATATATAGGGCTCCAGCACGCAAAACACATAGCGCAACATAAAGGAACTGGTTTAAAAAAGATCATTTTGTTATTTTGGTCACGAGATTTTAACACTATTGTAGATATTTGTTCATAGAATGATCCTCATTTAGTAAACCATAAACTCAATCAGCAGAGAATTTGAAGCAGCTTTTGAAAGAGTATTGGTTAGAAATGAGATGTGCATGAAACTGGTCAAATTAATGCCTAGACAAAACTTTCTCAGTCATCAAGAACACTTTTAACCAACTAAACCTCTATGAAACTCATCTTATGAAACAATTAGACTTTTTAAATTAGTTTTTCAACTACTTTATTCTATCAATATAAAATGATTTTTCTTTTATAATTAAAAATTTCCAGATTTTTTTTATTCGAAAAAGAAACAGTAAATATTAAAATAAATGCTTTGATTAAACTATTGTGTATGGCTGTAACATAATAGCAAAAGAACAATGTGAAGAAATTTTTTTTTTAAAGTAACTTTTAAAGGCTCCATATTTTCTTAAAAAATTTTCAAAGTAACTTTTAAAGGCTCCATATTTTCATGCATGACTGTAACATATTTTCTTAAAAAATGTACTTCTAAATACAAGATACACTTGCAATGTTGCTACATTTTATGCACTTTAACATAAAGAACTTTCTACTTATGATAAATGATTTTTTTTATAAAAGTTGTAATAAAAGTTTTAATTCATTTGATTATTATTAGTATTATTTGGACTTAATAGAGTCAAAGTTGTGGACTTGAGACTTAGAGTCAAGTCACAAATTTGATAGTTTTAGATTAGACTAATAAGACTTTGAACTCAACTTAGATAACTTTTGACTTGACTTGTTGCATTATGCTTCATTGAGTTTGATGTCTGACAGCTTTATAAAAAAATTGATTTTTTGCTAATGCAATGTATCATTTTAAATATAATGTATTTGAAAACAATTTTAATTTAAAGTTTTTAATTTGTGCTTATTATTAGACTATCACAAGTTTTAAATTTGAAATGAGATTTAATTAACTAAAAATACATTATTAACTACTTGAATCAGGATATAAGAACTTAAAAATTGACTTGGTTTTTTTAAACTTGACTCAAGAATTGAATTGAACTGACATTGCTTGACTTGGGACTTGACTTGGACTTGAGTGATAAGAGTTGTGACTTGAAAACAATGACTTGATCACACCTTGATTAAAGTATTCATAAGTTCAAAGTTTTTATACCAATATTATTGTGCATTATTATAGTATTGCTTATAATTAATGATTAATTCAACGCTGAAATTATCCATTCATGTGAGTTTGACACAGAGTTTTTTAAAGAAGATTTAGCAAGTTTGGCCTTATAACATTTCCCTTTTTTTTGACCATGAGATAAAGGATGCTTGAATCTTTATTATATTCTGCTAATATTAAGAACTCAAAAAGCTCTTTTCAAAGGTCAAACTTTTAATAAAGTTGGTATTTATCTCAAAAATGCTTGCTTCTCATATGGTCAACAATGTTACATGTTCAAAAGCAAGATTGTTTAAAAGGTTATTTTTTTAAATTTATTAACACGCCATTTAATAAATGCTAAACAAAATTTATAAACATGCCATTTAATAAATGCTACACAAACAATGTTGTATTTATAAATGTACTTATCTATAAACAATTACAGTTTTACCATTAAACACCTTTTTTTTTATAAATAATTAAA